CATGTTTAGCTAATGTGTATAACATGTTTAGCTAATGTGTATAACATATTTAGCTAATGTGTATAACATGTTTAGCTAATGTGTATTATGTTTAGCTAATGTGTATTATAAGTTTAGCTAAAGTGTATTATATGTTTAGATAACATGTATAACATGTTTAGCTAGCGTGTGTTATATGTTTAGATAACATGTATAACAGGTTTAGCTAATGTGTATAACATGTTTAGCTAACTTGTATAACATGTTTAGCTAGCATGTATTATATGTTTAGCTAACATGTATAACATATTTAGCTAACGTGTATAATATGTTTAGCTAATGTGTATAACATGTTAAGCTAACCTGTATAACATGTTAAGCTAACGTGTATATAATGCTGCAAGAGCCCCTTTACAGAATACTTCTTATATTCCTAAAGAATATAGGAAATTTTTATAAAGCATGCTAACTATGCTACAATAAGGAAAAGCTTGATTATTTTTCATAAAGAAATTTTATTTTCCAATTCTCGATGCGGCCCTTTCATTGCTTTAAATGTCATGACGTGGCCCTTTGGGAGAAGACTGTTGCTCACCTCTGCCTTAGAGGATATGCTTTGAGTAACTCTCGGCTACAACCACACCAGTTTTTAGCACGTCTGCAGACTTGATTCAACAGTGAGGATCATCATGTCGTCTCTATCATGTGACTCCATGATTCAAATCATCGCTGGCTGGCAGAAGGACGACACGCACCGTTTGATTTATACATGATCACTCACTTCTTCACAAATTTAAATGAAAATGGTCTAATACTGTGTTGTAGTCGGATGCACAAAAAGAGGAGTAGAATTTTCTGGCGCCATATACTGAGTAAAAATGATCCAGATGGAGGAAGTAAGATCTGCAATCAACGGAAAGGGTTGGATTCTGAATACTGAGGACTGTGTCTGTGTCGTTATATTTAAAGTTAATTCTTAATTTTAGACATGAAATCCTGTTATATTTCTCCTATTTGGAGGTACAGCTCACTTTATTCTTGATACATGTTAGTCTTAACCAATACTGAAAAAAAGACTGGTCACATAAAGTGTAACCTATTTTTAAACATTTATTTAATTATAATATAATGCATTTTATTTGTTTGCACCTTTCAAGACACCCAAAGACACTTTACAAAATAAAAACAATACAAAATTACAATTTAAACACGTACTGAAATTAAAAACTGCTAGAAATGACTAATTAACTTGAACAAGTGGGGTTTTAGTCGTGATTTGAAGGTAGGAAGAGAATCAGAATATTACAGACGTCAGAGTTCCAGAGTTTGGAAGCACAGTGAGAAAAAGGCGTTCCCCCATGGTGGAGAGGTGGACAAAGCGCACGGCGAGGAGGATGTCCGAGGAAGAACGGGGAGCGGGAATGTGTGGTGATGTGCAGGAGATCGGACAGGTAAGGAGGGGTGAGGTTGTGGACGACCTTGAATGTGTACAGGAGGATTTTAATTTGAATTCTGAACAAGACCAGAAGCCAGTGGAGTAGGACTGAAGAAGAGAGAGGTGCATTAATCGGTTCAGAAAATGACGAGACTACGAACCAGGATGGAAGCAGTGCAAGGAGAAGGACTGAGTCGGCTGATGTTTCGAAGGTGAAAACATGCAGACTGAGGGATGTTACTGATGTGAGAGTGAAATGTGCTGAAAGAATGACACCCAAACTTTTGACCTGAGGGGAGGAAGGAGCCAGGGAGCCGTCAGTGGTCAGGAGAAAACTATTGATTTTGGATTGGGTGGGTTTATTGCCTATAGAAACTCAGTTTTATCACCATTTAAGGAAGTTTGACGTAACCGGGATTGTATTTCAGCCAAGCAACAAGTGAGGGAGGAGAGTGGAAATGAAGAATTTGGTGAGCTGGGTGTCATCAGCAAAGCAATGGACATGGATATGAATTTATGGTAAATGTTGCCATGGAGAAGAAGGTACAGTAAGTGAGAACAAGAGAGAGACTCGTGAAATTATGATTATATTTAATACTTTATTATATCTGTTGTGGTATGTGGTCCTTCAGTGGCTCTCTGGTGAACAAATCCAGAGATTCAAACAGATCTTGCCAAATATCCGTGCAGTGGATGTTTGACCAGAGTGTTGGGGTGGACTTCCAACCACTTTTCAGACTGTTTAGATCGCTGAGCAAGATTTGGCAGAAATTAAGTAGTTTCACACATTGCTGTCCTGACTCAGGGATAAGCTTCTTAGCATAATCTGATAAATATAAATCAGATGATATTGGGTTGATTCTCTTCTTTAGCATCTCTTGCATTGTTGGCTGCTTGATTTTTGCCATCTCACATAGTGTGCATGCACGAAAATGAGCGCTTCTGTTTGCATACTTGATCTTCCCTATTACAACCGTTTGTGTGTGTTCAGTGGTTCGGTGGTCTGATCTGAACATTTGACATTGGGTTAGCTCCCTACATCGGTCAAGGAGGTAGACGTGTGTCCAGTGATTATATCCTAAAAGTTCTGCTAAAATCATTCCGTGGTTCATGGAATATTTTGTAGGAGTGCGTGATATTAGATTTTTGGCTGATATGTTAAAACTTATTTGGCCGATAACCGATGCCGATACCGATATTTTATATACGTTCCTTTGTCAGAACATATCTCTCTTATTTAGGTTTATTTGCTACAAAAAATGTGCAACAGCTGTAAGAGCTGGTGACATATATTCAGTGACAGCCATATGATATACATAGCACTTTAACTTATATTAAATGAAAAGCGTTAAATGTTATTCGCATTAGTCACCTATGATGCTGTCTCACTTGTGGAGGTTTGTTCCAGGTTCTTAGCTGCAGTGTGGGATCCTCTGCACTCCTGTGCATGAAGGACAGACTTTTAAAGTTTTTGTCTATCCATTGTGCCATAAGACTAATCATGCTAATGGGGCTAACACGACGTCTAAATGACTGTGGTAAAACTTACTCAACAAGTCGTGCAATCGGCTATTACCTTCTTAATGACGTCGGAAATGACAGCTGGTAACTCGGGTAACGTCACTTCGGAAAAATCTCTCAGAGTGCAGATGATGTAGCGAGGCTCAATGTAGTCCATAAATCTTCGAAATCAGACATCCTCACCAACGAAAAATAAAACTTCCACTCCGCCGACATTTTGAATTTTCCTCTCCGCCGTGAGATCAGGTAGGCGCACGTGATTTCATCACGTTGTGCTGCCACTGCAGGCAAAAACAGCGCATTTTGTATCGGCGACTTATTTTAATGGAATGGCTGATGCCCGATATTGAACTTTAATGCTAATATAGGCCGATACCGATACCATGCCAATAATATCGTGCATCCCTAATATTTTGTTTAAATAATTTACTTAAATTGTTAAAAATTTAGCTAAAAACTAA